GATCTAGCACAACGGAATTCTTGTTCAGGCATTTTAATATATAAAACCCCTTGTTTTAGTATTTTGATAATCTTTACATAGCATTGTAAACACAACCTAAAATTTATTTTAAAACCTTTCCATGATTGTCTTGGATTTACAACTTACATTTCCGCCAAGGAGAAGTTATTTTTTGATAAGACCATTTGTTTCTTTCTTAGAAATATGGAAACTCTCTTCCCTCATGGTTTAACAATACATTTCTGCCAAGAACCATGGCAGAAATGAGCTTTATCCTAATGTCCTTGGCTCCCCAAAGTAATTCATGATATAAATTGTTATTTAAAATTTTTAAATTACAGTTTCATTTTGAGTTTTTAACCAATGAAATGTGAACACCTAAGATGATTCTATGAAATAATTCATTACTTTCATTAGCTTTATGAAGAAAACATGTACTGCTAATTTCTTTATGTCTACCGTGTTAAAATGTAGAAAGCTTTGCAGGTGTTAGCATTCAAATCAACTGTACGTTACATGCTTCAAAGTGAAACAATCACATAAGGGTATAAATTCTATCAAAATTTCATAAACACAAGAACGGGAAAATTGAAATATAAAGGAACGTAAGGAGTCACAGTGCTTCTGAGATGATGTGCAAGATGATGCAGGGCTGACCCTGCTCTCCCAGGGGTGCTGGGACTTGTGCTTCTTTTCCACAATTTATTAAAGGCCAGAGAAACACAGAGCAATGACTCATGAGAAACGTGACAATGTACAGTTTATCTAAACATGCATTGCAAAAGCGCAGGGGAGAACAGGCTGGAAGAAGAAAGAAAGAAAAATATATGAATAAAAGAGCCTGAAATTAAAAGCAAGTCATATTTGACTTAGGCAATTCCAATGCAACAAACTGGTATTTAACTTTCATGTGATCAAAGGCAAAAAAAAAAAAAAAAAAGATGTCTGACAAAATAAAAACACAGTGGAAACTAACTTTTTATACAGACTCTGAGAAAACCTCTTTTAGAAAACAAAATTTGTCAGCCACTCTCTGTACTAGTTTCTAGGTAACCTCAATACATAGTCTCCTGATCCCCAGGAAATCTACATGGGCTATAACCAACTTCCCAGAAACACCCCCAGACCACTGCTTTGTGGCTTGACTATGTGTAAATTTGCTTGGCCAGTGGATAAAGACTATGCAACTGTATACAGCTTTGCAATAGACTAGTCAAAGAGCACTCAATTTTTCTATATGAAATAAACAACTTCTCATCAAGTTAATTAAGAAATGTCTGTTCTTAAGAGGGAAATGGAATGGAGCTCCTCAGATTAAGGACAGAGGGACTAAAGTTTACAACATGAGTTCAGAGGACAGCAGTGAAGACACTGTGAATTTCACTGCATGTAATACTTTTGTGTCCATATAGATTAAGTGGCTTAGAACATATTTTCTAAAAACAAAGTAAGATTACAAGTGAAACTTAAGCAAGGAAGTAGTTTAAGGAATGGAATAAAAGATTTGTGCTGTCAGATGAGACTTTGCAGGAGCTGTTCTTGAGATGTTAGGGACAGAGAAAAAAATCAAGGAAAGATAAAAGTATTACAACAGCCAGGCAAGGTTAACCTCAAACTTGGCTCTGATCCATGGCAAATGAAGCGGTTTGTACAAACCCTGAGTCATACCTGATTCAAGAATAAAAGAGTGGATGTCTTGCCAAAAACCAATGCCAAAGAAGTTGTTTCTAAGAAGCATAAGGGGAAAAACTCTGCAATCACCAGTTGTGTGTGTATAAATAGCATCATTCATGTCCCTTGTGAGCTTGTTATGGGCCCTCCAAAAATACACCCATGCAAATTTTATTTCCCAAAGCATTATACTATATAATAAAATGCCATCTTTTGAGGGAAAAGAAAGGGATCCAAGAGTAATCATAAAGGACAGTACCAATTGTAATAAAAATTACTAAAATTCATAAAACTATATTTTCCTTTACAAGCAAAGAATGCTAAATTATATTTTCCACAAATGGTCATCTTGTTACAACTGGTAACCTTAAAATGAGCCCCCAGATTTTATTTTCACAGCTAACTGTTCAGCACCGCCAAGGGGGAGAAGAATGTTCCTACTCGGTATATGTCACGGACACGCAGTCCTTCCAGCTAGCTCTAACTCTTTGAGCAATCTTTCTAAGCAGCTGCTGCAAGGATACACACTGCCCTGGCCACCCTTCAGAGGTCCTCACTTCGAGAGCCTGCTTCTCTTGTGCCAACCGGAGGGTGGACACAGTAGAGGCTTTGGGCAGAGATGCCTGGCGTGAGGCATTCTGGGAATTTCCTGCCTACGGAGCTGCCAGTGCTACTTCACATCCTTCCGCAGGCAGAAACCAAACCAGCAGGAGGATGATGCTCTTTGCTGTAACCCAGCTGAAAAAGCAGATAAGGAATGAGGAGAACCCAGGTCACTAAAACAAGCTTCTGGGGCAGATATTTCAAAGCTCACACCACATGGCAGTTAATCTTAGACAACTTGATAGCCTCCCATTTTCTTACATCTAAAGTAAATGGTACACACCAGTCCTGGCCGCATCATAGTGAGGAAGGGACAAGGAACATGTCTGAGCCTGCTTGGTGTCCTAGCAGAGGGGCATGCCACAACAGGCAGCAAACCTCACTCAAGAGCTCCGTAACACCTGGCCTCCCACTCCCAGCCCTGTGTCTCTTTCCCACCTCACTCTGGACACTTCTGACCCAGCAGCCTTGTGCCCACATACCAAGTACCTCCCTGGCTTCACTTTCTTCATACAAACCTTTTCCTCTCCCTGGAATACCCTTCCTCACCCACACGTTGCCCGGCTACCACCCTGTCCCATCTCAGTTTCAATGTCAACTTTCCAGGGATTTCTTTCTCTGAATAGATCCCATTCCTCTCCCTTAGTGTCCAGATCTGATCAGAAGTCTTAGTCCCTCACATACTTGTCACGAATGTAATTAACACTCATGTGTTAATTATTTTTTTAAAAAAGGTGGTCAACTATAAGCTCCATGAAGGCAGGACAGAGACAGTTTGTCCTTTTTTTTTTTTTTTTGTTCTATTTCTAGTTACTAGGTGAGCATTGTAATTGAGATAATAAAAAAAGAAATATTCATTAAAATGATAAACACTAATTATTTAGTTGAAAAATTGTTATTCTTCAATTGTTTGATATATTTCAAGATAGTTTTCATGGTCCACATTTTACAGATGAGGAAAGTACATTTCAGAGAAGAGGATTTCACTTAAGTTCACCTGGCAAAGTTGGAAATGACATAATCCAGACTTAAAGAAATTCTTGACCTTGAAGCTGAAGCTCTAAGATCAAATTTGCTCATCAAATTAGTGTACAGCCCACAAAGAGCAAATCCAGCAGCACTCTTTCCTCAACGGAGCTTCATGATGCAAATTAAGATGAAAACTGTTAACCCACATACCTACGATCAATTAATCTTTGACAAAGGAGGTAAGAATATACACTAGGAAAACGTGTGTGCAGCAAGTGGTGTTGGGAAAGATGGACAGCCCCATGTAAATCAATTAAATTAGAACATGCCCTTATGCCATACACAAAAATCAACACAAAATAGTTTAAAGACCTAAATAGAAGACACAACACCATAAAACTCCTAGAAGAGAAAATAGGCAAAACAGTCTCTGGCATAAATCATACCAGTTTTCTCAGGGCAGTCTCTCAAGGCAGTAGACATAAAAACAAGAACAAATGGGACCTAATCAAACTTAAAAGCTTTTGCAGAACAAAGGAAACCATAAACAAAATGAAAAGATAACCTACAGCATGGAAGAAAATGTTTGCAAACAATGCTTCCAACAAGGGATTAATTTCCCAAAGTATACAAACAGCTTGTACAACTCAACAACAACAAAAAACAACCCAATTCAAAAATGGGCACAAGAGCTAAATAGACACTTCTTCAAAGACAGACAGAAGGCCATTGGGCACATGAAAAGATGCTCAACATCACTGATTATTAGAGAAATGCAAGTCAAAACCACAATGAGGTAATCGCCTCACACCATTCAGAATGGCCATCACTAAAAAGTCTACAAATAACAAATGCTGGAGAGTGTGTGAAGTAAAGGGAACCCTCCTACACTATTGGTGGGAGTGTAAACTGGTGCAGCCACTGTGGAAAACAGCCTGGAGGTTCCTCAGAAAACTAAAACTAGAATTACCATATGATCCAGCAATCCCACTCTTGGTCATATATCCAGATGAACCTATAATTCAGAAAGAAACATGCACCCCTTTGCTCATATCAGCACTATCTACAATAGGTAAGACATGTAAACAACATACACATCCACTGGCAGATGAATGGGTCAAGAAGATGTGGTATATACACGATGAAATACTACTCAGCCACGAAAAGGAATGAAATAATGCTATTTGCAGCAACATGGATGAAACTAGAGATTATCACACTAAGTCAGAAAGAGAAAGACAAATGCCATCGGGTACCACTTACATGTGGAATCTAAAATAAGACACAAATGAACCTATCTATGAAACAGAGCCACGGACATAGAGAAGAGGCTTGTGGTGACCAAGGGGGACGGGTTTGGGAGAGGGGTAGAGAGGGAGGCTGGGGTTAGAAGATGTAAGCTTATACAGAGTGAATGAACCACAAGGTCTTACTGCACAGCACAGAGAACTATATTCAGTATCCGATGATAAACCATAATGGAAAAGAATGTTAAAAAAGAATACACATACAAATGTATAACTGGATCATTTTGCTGCACAGCAGTAATTAACAACACTGTATAACAACTATATTTCATTTAAATTAAAAAAGGATGAAAACTGTTGATGTTCTCTTCCAACAGAAAATTGATTTACGTATGCTGCCTTTCTGCTGCTGGGAAATCAAATATTTTACCATGACTTATACACATAGATGGAATGGACTAAGTACCATTGAGTATTTATAAAAGAGATGGACAGTGAAAAGACACTTACCATAATTCCAGTGAGCAAACAGACTCCTTTCCCACAGTATGTGTTAGGTACCATGTCACCATAACCAATGGAGAGAAAAGTTATTGATATCAACCACATTGCTCCAAGGAAGTTGCTAGTAACATCCTGTTGATCATGGTACCTGAAAAACAGCAAACAAAGCCAGTCCTTTATAATTAATCTAGAGGAGGGCCACCATGGGCAGTTTGACTCAATCCCATGAATTTACTAAGTAGCTTCTACAAAATGCTCTATTTAGAGGTTTTCACAGCTCACTATTATAAGTAAAATTGGGGTTCTACCTAAGTAATGTGAAAGACATCAGGATTTCTTCAACTTTAAAAATAATTTGAAAGGGAAGCTGCAAAATATGAAAATAGCTTTTATCACTGGTGTTATGTGACTAATGCACATTTATGTCTGAGTCCCCTCTTGTTTTGCTCACAAAAATCTCCTCCTTCCTTGATGTCCACTGATGTGCCCAACGTGTAGGATGATATGTGGTTGCCCAATCTCCTTCTGCGCCTCTGTATCAGGAGGAGCCATGGGGTCCCCTTCGCTATCTGTTTCCCTAGTGGGCCAATTTTGACCCTTCAAAATCAATTCAGTCAGGAGCCTCTTCTGTCTGTTCTTCTCCCAGCCCCTCCCGGGGGCTCCCTCAATATCCTGTGTTTTCCTTCACCGCAGGACTAGACTGTAACTGTCCTGTACTAGTTGTCCTCCTTGAAGATGGGAAAAACATCTTTGATTGCACAGTCCACACCCAGAACTAGAGCTTAATGTAAGTCATTGCCTCCTGAGTTACGCACATAAGAGTTTGTAGTCAAAAGAAGGAGAGGTATGCAGCTTATCCTGGTTATCCTACAAGGTGTCAAGTCTTTCTAATGAGGAGGAAGGCTTTTATCTCAGAAAGAGATACCCTACAATGTCTGGCTTGAATTACCAGTGTTGAGCAGTAACTCGGCCGCTCGTGGGCACTGCTATCCATCATGCATGCAAGCGTCAGGCCATGCCAGTGGTCACCCGGGAGGAACTTGCCCTGGATGTGTGCCCTGCACAGTCGTGGGCAGGGTGGCCCTCGCCCAGGGGAGCAGTCACGGGCATTCCTTACTCCTCACTCTACTTGTGTTAAGGACCACCCTTTCTTTCCAGCTCTCAGAAACCACTGGGAACAGCTTTCCCTTCCTTGTTTCTTGGCCTCCGGAGCATGCTGATAACCCCCAAGCTTGCATTCACTCAGTTCGGCCTTTCAGCTCAACCATCTGTCTGTGTAGTCAGAGCTGTGGAGGCAAGAAGGCTGCCCTGTGACCTGAGCCCCAGGATTGATCCCATACACAACCTACATTGCGCCATTACGTCCTCTGAGATTTCTTCTTTTCTGTTCTTTTTCTCACACCAAGGCTTCTGCCATAACCCAAAGTGCAGGAAGGTTCGAGAGGATAAGCTTTCCCCTGTAGCGCTATCCCTCTGACAGTGGAGACAGGGGCTCTTTTCTCTGTCTTTGGACACAGAGGGCCTATGCTTATCACTTTTACACTCTTTTGTTTGCTTCCAAACAAGAGAGAAACTAAGAAATGGTATTTCCTGCTACACTGGTCTGGGAAAGAGAAATCCCTGGCTGGAGTGAGTAGAAACCCAGAGCAAGGAGGCGTGATGGCATCGCCGAATCTTCTGAAAGAAAAGGGCAGGGCAGGTGTGCCCCAGCCAGCCCTTGCTGAGCAGCATCCGGCAAGCCTCTGGTGGCAGGGGGACGGCAGCCTCACCATCCTGCTCCAGGAAACGGCATCGTGGCTCAGAGGCAGAGTCCCGTCTTCCCAGGGTGGCTGAGTGGAGAGGCTGTCTCTGCCAAAAGGGAGGTCAAGATAATGTCTTCCTCATGTTAGGTAGATAGATAGACAGACAGACAGATAGCCACATGTGCTCAGTCATGCCTGACACTTCGCGACTTTATGGACTGTAGTCCACTAGGCTCCCCTGTCCATGGGATTTCTCAGGCAAGAATACTGGAGTGGGTTGCCATTTCCTTTTCCAGCGGCTCTTCCTGACCCAGGGATTGGACCCATGTCTCCTGCACCTCCTGCACTGCAGAGATTCTTTACCTTTTGAGCCACCAGGAAGCCTTACTCCTCATATTACTCAATCACTAAAAAACAAATGAAATAACACCATTTGCAGTGACATGGGTGGGCCTAGAGATTGTCATACTAAGTAAAGTAAGTCGGACAGAGAAACACAAGTATCATATGATATTGCTTATAGGTGGAATCTTAAAAAAAAAAAAAAAGGAACAAATGCACTTATTTACAACAGAAACAGACACAAAAAACAAACTCACGGTTAGGAAAGGGGGGGAGGGGTAACTTAGGAGTTTGGGATTAACAGACACATACTACCATAAGTAAAATTGATAAATAACAAGGCCTACCATAAATAACACTGATAAAGGACATACATAGTAGGGAACTATGATAATCTATAACAGGAAAGAATCTGAAAAAAAAAACATATGTATGTATGACTGAATCAGTTTGGTATACACTTGAAACTAATACAATGCTGTAAGTCAACTATACTTCAATTTTTTTTTTTTAAAGATGTATTCCTAACTTTCAAGGAAGATAGATGAGTGTACTTCCTCTGAGAAACTCTGATAAATAACATGCTCATAAAAGCAGGGTGGTGTGATACATTTGAGAGTTCAGCTATGCGTGAGCTACCAGGCTCTGCGGGCTGCTTGGGGAGCCCGTCATGCCTGTGTGATGGGGGTGCCATGGGAGAATGTGGTTTCTATTTCAAAAAAGAAGCAAGCTTTGGATTATAATGCACTCACAATATCGAGGCTCTCTATGAACAGTCCTCATCAAGCAACTGCCTGAAACAGAGAATACATTACCTCGGCAAGAGTGTGGTCAAGAGAGGGGAGGCAAAAGCTTCACGTCCTATTCAATTTTCAACTGTGACACAAAGTTGCTTCCTAACAAAGCACGATTTACATGAAGATCCAATACATTTAAGAGCTGCCGGCCCTGATTCCCTGAGGCAGATGAAATATTTATTGAGCCCTCACTATGTGTTCAGCTCCTAACTTGCCTTTTCTCATTTTACAATCTTTGGCTGAAACAGCTATGGTCTTTACCCATTATCAACAAAGTGTCCTCAGTCGCTAGCCACGAAGAAAACGGGACCATGTCTGAGTGACACCCTCAAGTTACTGCTGCCTCAGGAGTGACTAGAACATACCTGCCTACTCGCCGAGCACAAGCTGCTCCTCTGGTGAGCAACTACAAAGAGGACGTTTGAGATTTCATACTATAAACAAAGGTCGTTAGGGGGCCTTCAGGGCGCTGGGGCGCACAGGTCAGTCTCCTCAGCTTGGGCAAAGGTGTGAACACCTCTGTCAGCTCTTCTTCCTGAAGCACTTTGATCTGGTTTTCAAAGTTTGGAGCACTCAATGACTTTGAAAGTTACAGTGAAAAGCATTCCCTGACTCTCAGTTATTTGCCTACATTTAATAAATACACAAGCTTAAAATTTCTCCCATCCTCATTCAATTCTCCACCATTCTCAAGTATTATGCCATTATATCATTTAGTCAGTATTAGTTATATGCTATGCAATTCTATTGGGTAAGACACTGTATTTTTATACTGAAGGGTCTAAGTAGAAACAGACAACTTTCTAGGAGTTGGCATTTAAAGGGCTTGGGGTTCAATGATAAATTACCTTTTTCTTTCTTATTAAATAATTAACCTGCCTGAAAGATAACTTAGAATGGAAAAATAATATTTCATACTAATGTTTATGTTACATTTCAGACATACTTAGTTATGACTAGTCAAGAAGAGGCAGGTAATTAGGGACCACATTAGCTACTAGTAGAACACTCAAGGTTTCTTTCTTGGAAACTCATAAACAAATATTAAGACTTATCAACAGGATGACATTGCTTAGAACACTTCCAGGTTTTGAATTAATGCAGAGTGACACCACTGTGAATGATTAATATATACAATTTAAATAGTTAAACATTTTCAAAATATTTCCTACAGTTTTTCACTTCAAAAACTTACTTAGATAATTCCAACCTTCTTCACAAGAAGAACTATTCGGGGAAAAACCTGAAAAAATGACTTATGGGGAAAATTTCAAATTCTAATCAATATGAATGCTTATTTAATTAAGACATATTAAAGAAGATTAAAATTAGTGTAAGGAATTTCTGATGATCTCAAACTTTTAAAATAAGGGCTCTAGGGTTTAGGAAGAAGACTTCTTGAACTGTTTTACAGAACTGCATGCTGCAAAGACTTAAAGCTTGTGAGATTAGCTTTAAGGTTTTAAAAGAAGAAAATGTTTCTTTTCTTGGTTTCCATTCAATTCTTCATTCACTCTTGGCTGTGGATCTATCACTATTTCTGAAATCATAAATATGACAGCTTTCTATTATATTTGCTTAAATTTCCCAGGGTGATCTTTCCAAGGGCATTACTGAGTTTTTCCCTCTGAATGAGATGGTCTCTACCCAGAACTCCTGCCGCCCCATAGCACCTTTCCATGAGCAGCAGGAGCTCTGGCCATAGTAATGGTGGGCAGTTATGCCATCCCCTCCCCCAGCTCTTTCTCTCCAGGTATGTTTCCTTCTGCCTAACAAAACCCTCCCCCGCCTTCTTAGCCCTGATTTGTACTTTGAGAATCTGGTCATAATTCCTCTTCTCCAGATTGCACATAGTAATTTTAGCATGGTACTCTAGGTTGGACCATAGAGCACCACATCCGTTCTCTGCATACCAGAAGCCTCTTATAGGTACCTCTCATGCCATCAGTCAATGTCAACATGGGTCAGAAGGCATATAGCACATGCTCAGCTTAATAAACAGACCCCAAGAATCTAAATTATAAAGAATCTGAGGACAAAGATTATGTTTTACTCATTGTTTTATCTTCACTTAAAAGAATATAGCAGGAAATTGATATTTACTGAATTAACAAATATGACAATATGAAACACTTTTTCTCATACTGACTTGTCCTTAGCCACATGTTAGGCCTTCAGGATCACATATATAGAGATACAAAAAGGGGATAGAAATGAGTCTTTCCCTTCAATCAGTATGAATCGGATTTATCAGTTATGTTCCAAGA